GTTTGATGCGCTGTTCCGCGACGAAACCAAGCTTTAGCAACGGGCATAGTCGAACGGTACACACTCGGTAAGCAATCCTACAATTTTTTGTTTATAACGTAGTTTATACGGATTATTTTCAAAAAAATATACGTATTTTGGAAATGTTGAGTCGAATTGGTCTAGAATCGATTAATTTTATGAAAGAAAACCTTTCAAACAGCCGTAGTCCGTAAACTACGATTCCTACAAAATTGATTCATAAAGAATGGAACGTATCTACCGTCTTATAGGGGGATCTACTGTATTTGATAAATTTTTGCAAGATCAACACATTCTGGAGTTCAAATGACTATCTATATATATATATATATATATGTATGTTTGTGTTGATCAAAATGATAATGTAACAATTTCATTCCTACATGCACTTGTGTATATCATAAAGAAAGTTTTAGATATAATGCAAAAATGTTATTCATTCTTTCAGGAGGTATATTAATATCATACAAGCAACAATGATGATTTGGATGACATATATATATATGTGTGTGTGTCATCCAAATCATCATTGTTGCTTGTATGATATTAATATACCTTTTTTACAATCTATTAGCATCATAAATTAATATGCATTTGAGATTATTTCTGTTTTTTCCTGTTAAATTAACAACTATCATTTATATATATATATATATATATAAACACATTTACTAAATATTAACAGAATACTTATACACTAAGATGCTCTACATGCACAAGAAAGATAAACAATTTTACTTACTTATCTAAAGTTGCAGCCAAGATATATTTTCCATTTGGTGAGAACTTCACAAAAGATACAGGAGGATTATCATCATCTAAATAAAAGAGAATTATTTAGGCACACAATAATATCTTCAACAGTTATAATTGATTATTCCTAACAACATAAACAAAACAAACTTCTTTGATTACAAAATACACTCACTGCCAAAAGTTAAGTACGGAGCAGTAAACTGCGAAAAAAATCGACAAATACAGCTGTGGCTGACACGAAATGCGGCAGGACAGTAGCAAATATGTTTATGCATGAAACAACACAAAGAATTATATAGAAAGATAAAAACAATATTGAATTTTCATAAAGTATAAGATGAAATCATATTGGAATCATTAACAAAATGATGTTTAAATCCAAAACAAACAAAACTGACATTAATAGGGTAAATGGTCACCCCTCACTCTTACACAAAGTTTACAGCGTGTAACCATGCTTTCCATGAGGTGATCAACCACTCCAGAGTCAAATAAGTGCCATTCCTCCTGTAAAGCAGTTTGCAACTCTGTGTGTGGCAGCGGGTGAAAAATGTGCACATACAGCACAGCCAAGGGCATCCCAATGGGATTGAGGTCTGGCAAGTACGCTGGCCAATCCATATGCGTGGTTCCATCACTCTTGAGGTAGTTGTTGACAACAGCAGCTCTATGGAGTCGTGCGTTATCATTCATTAAAATGAAAGCAGGACCAACTGCTGTAGCTTACAATTTCACAATGGGTTCGAGGACTTCATCCCAATACCGGACAGCCATCACAGAACCCCCTTGATAGATGTGCATGTCATGCGATATCCCAACGAAATGCCTGCCCACACCATAATGCTTCCATGTCAGAATGCGTGATTCTCGATGATGTTCTGGGGCCAATTGTGTGCGCCTTTTTCTCTCAATACTCTTATGTACTTGTCATCTGGCTCCAGGGAAAATCGCAACTCATCCATGAACATAACGTTGCCCCAATGAGATACAGTCCAATTCACATGTTGCCGACACCACTTTAATCGTATTCCTCTGGATTGGACGGATAGTGGAACACAAACTCATGGTACCCAGGCTTACAGTCCGTTCATGTGTAGCCTTTGGCGCACAGCAAATATCATTTTACCAATGGCTGCTGCAACCATCGATGTTACACGTGTAGAGGTTGCTCTTCGATTCCACTTGGCTACAACAGCGATATAGCGATTTTCTGCAGGGGTCATAACTTTTGGGCAATGGGCCACAGGTTTTCGGACAACTGTTTGGCTTGTTTCCATAACCGTGAAATGACAGAATGATGAAAGCTGAATGATGAAAGCTGAAGAAAAGATCAACATCTGTGATTGATTGTCCTGCTTCAAGACGTCTCTCACACTGCCAGCGCTCACTGTCATTCGTCTTCTGGAAGCCATAGAAACACATCAGTCATGCACACTAATTGTACAACAGTTCTCCACACTTTTTCTTGGCACTTACATGCAACTCCTCTCACACTTCAGAAGGCTGGCTTCCTATACGACTGCCAGTTTTGCATATTTCGCGACACATAACCATGATTGATAGTAACGTAACATATTTGCATACTTCCACCTACCTCTGCAGTGAATTGCAGCCTCTCAAATGCCAATTGCTTCCCTGTCATGAACTTTTTCTGCTCCGTGCTTAACTTTTGGCAGTGAGTGTATATCAGGTAACCAACTTCAAACTAAGACAATAATTTGTAAATTTCAAATAGGTATAATTGTTACTTCCTTAATTTTAATAATTTTTAAACGTGTAACAATTTACAAAAGATGTTCATATCCTAAAATAAGCCCATCTTAACACTTAGAATTTCATCTGATAAAGATTTGTCAGTTATTTTGAAGTGAAGTGTCACAATACAAATATCACATGTATGTCCGATATCCAGACAGGTCAGATCTCAATGATTTTACCCAAAATTATGTCCAGACAACTTGAAAATTACTTCAGAACAATTATGCTAATCAAATATTAATGTCAAAATAAAACTCCTATTTTTGCTATTATAAAATGGCATAAAGTTTAATTTTGCAAGTAGGGATGGGTTTTATAAAAAAATTGTAAATGCTAATAAAGAGTAAAATTGTACCCTATTGAAGATACACATGACCCTCTTTAAAGGTCAAGGGAGTGAGGAGATAATCATCAAAATTTAACAGCAATTTAATAAACAAACTAGGGTTTCTCAAACAAAATCCCAATTGTTTCTTTAACCCAGGAAATCCTGCAAATTTCTTAAAAATTCACTTTTTTATTTTGTGTTACGGTTGAGGAAATTTTGCAAATAGAAAGTATAATTAACTCAAACTTCAGAATATATTTGTATTTATTAATTTTAAACCTACTTATTAGTTTCTTAAGTTTTTGCTCATTATAGCATGTCACAAATGGTCAATAATCAATATGTAGCTTATTTGTGGCAGGACTGAAAATTTTTTACTTGTCAGAACCTGTAATATCTGGAATAATTTAGCGCTTATGCTGTCTTAAATTTTAACCATGCCCAGTAGCTTCAGTAACTGCATAATGCAAGATTGTGCAAATTAGACAAGGATACAAACGAGTACAAAGTTTTTCTTCATAAACCTGATTATTAAAGACAAATGAACTGCCAAATTATTGGGCTATAAGCTTGATGTTTCTATTAAAGCAGTCAAGGTAGACAAATCATGATGTAAAATCCGCAAATTTTACGCAGTTGTTGGGAAAAAAAATAGATTGTAAACTCCGATAGAAAAAACATTCCTGGTGAGAATTATATTGGAGGTCACCGTTTGTTATCACAATTAGCTGGGAAAGTTGACACACAGGTGTCAGGAATGCACCATTAATGTCAACAGATGGCGATCATCTGACTTTCCTACAAAAACCATATAAAAGCTCACATTCCCAGAACTTGGCACGCGTCTGCACATGGAAGTTATTTTTTTGGTATTTGTGCTCGTCGATCTCCATGCCAAGGACTGTGATCCCATTGGAGAAGACACCGAAGCCTTTACCTCTTCCATACAGATGACGTTTGCCAACTCTCCATTGTTCTGAGAGGTATTTAGGGACTTTAGAACTTGTATAAGCGTTCTCTCTCATTAGTAGGTCAACAACACGAGATAAGTCGCCATCTTATGTATATAGAAGTAGATTAACCACATTTAACCTTAGTAGTTTTAGTTTCGCCTCATATAATTTAGATTAACAAAATAAACAAAGCATTTATTGAATAACTAAACTGTCTCCAGTCATTGAAAGGACACCTGCCGGCTTACCAGTGCACTCCCCACTCACTTTTTTTCCCTCCTAGCCATCCAACAATCCGAGTCCAGGTTTTACCAACCTGTGCAGTGTAAGTGGTCATTAGGGATCGTCTCTCTGGTCCTCTGCTTGTCTCACAATGAATACTAGAGAGCAAAAGAAGTACTACAATCTCAAAAACAAACTAGAAATCTTCCAGGTTATGGGTGGAAAAAAACACATAACATCTGTCTTCTCTTAAATGCATTAAACACAACTCCACTCACATCAATTGAATCAAAGGGGCATTCTTGGTAGCAGGACTTTTCATTACTAAAATAAGAACTAGATCGAGTAATCAGAGTATTGACCATCTTATAAAAATTTACAATAATATTTTGTATTAATGTGTTTTATTTAAATAACGAAAATTACCTTTTAAGTTAGAAGTTTGATCTAAGTTCATTTTTTTTAAATTTTCAACTCAATTCAAAGCATTTTTTGTTGTTGTTGTATGCAGTTTCCAGCAAACTTTAATAAATTTTTTCTATTTGTGAAAATTTCTATGCAATTCAAAGGTAGTTTTTAATATATATCTTACACAGCATTATTAATATGATTTTGGAGGTTACAGAACATTAAAAAATGAAAAATAATTATAATTTAATAAGTATCATCTGATTTCAAGATATTTTGCATATCTTAAAAATAATTAATTCTATCACGGGAATTTCAGAAATAGTTCAATTTTTTCCCGAAATCCCAGGAAATGAAAAACCTTATAACAAACCTCGCAAAATTTCAGAAATTTTCGACAAATTGCCAAAAATGTTTTTTGCATTTCTCTATGTTAAGGTCCCAAGTCAGATAATGTAAAAATCTTGGGAGGGGGTGGTCATTTTTTGACCAACTGCCATACTTTCCTTCTGTTATATATAATAGCCAGGAAAGTAATATATAATTGTTTTTAAAAATATATTAAAATTTTCTATTATACTTTTCTTGTGGAATCTTATTTTTGGGCTCCCTGGCTCACCTTACAAAGAATTTTACTAATTTAAGATACTTCTGTAAATTTAAGAAATTTTAACATCAAACAAAAAAATAATTTCCTTCTGGCAAGTTAAAAACTATGGATATAAAATAGCTAAATGAAGATTAAGTGAATTAAAAATGCTTATTTTAATTTACTCTTAATTTTATTTTAATGTCATCATCGCTTAAAAAAAATTGAATTACTATAAGTTCTGTCAAATATGCATGATTATAATATATATTTTTCAAGTCTATTCTGAAAGCACATTTTTTAATATGAAATTTAAAAACACCATTTCAGTTTAATTGAAATAATCACTATTGAACTGTGTGTAAAATATAATGAAAACTCAATCTCAAATCAGTCATTTTTGTCAGAAAATTGTTTTTCCATTTGCCTTTGTACTGTGAACTGAATTTTATAATTTTATATTATGCAAAATAGCCATTATAATATAAAGTTTTGTATTAATAAATGTTTTATTCTTATTTGTATTTGTAGTGATTATATTCAAATCAGAAGGAATGGTTAAAGTATTAATATACCATGGTATATTAAGTTGATTGCACTAGAAGATTTTGCTTATTAATTAAAGATTAGGAGAAAGCAGATTCCAAGTTTCTAGTCTGTTTCCAAATTATCAAATAATTTACTTGAAATACCAAATGATTACAATATATTATTAAATTTATTCTGCCAAAGATTTTTATAATTTCTTGCTTCATAATTCTGTTTTAACAAATATTATATAAATTTATTATGTTCTTATAAGAACATAATAAATTTATATAATATTTATTTCTTCAATATTTAATATATTTATATTAAAACAATAAAAATGAAAAAATATTTCATTTTTTTCAAAATTTAAACTTACCTATCAGTGTTTTCAGACATTGTCCTGAAGCAGTATCCCATATTCGGCTAAAAATAAAATATTTCAGTTTAGCATCAATTAAATTCATTTTATCGAATAAAATGAAAATTATTTTAACTTTGCATTAATAAAAAATATTATATTCAGTAAATAAGAAAGATAAAGTTCAGTAAACAATTGTCAATATTTATCTAGTTTAATTTGAATGCCAAGATCAGTTATATTCAGAAAACTGTCTTTACACTAATTTTATTTTGCTGATATATCATCATCATATCAAAGACCAAATGGCTAAGGTGCTTAAGGCATCAGACTATTGTTATGCAAGATCTGCAATTGAATTCAAACAAGCAAATTCATGTATTCCTGTATTCTGGGACAGGACCAACCAGACTGGTCTTGTCCCAGATACATTGAGCTCTATCCCTTACAACCCAATTGCCCCTCAGTTGTGGGCCTGATCAAACACAAGCTCTCTTACTGATAGCCAAAACCATGAAAAAATGGCTGTTATTGCCCACAGGACAATAAAATAAAAACCTTGATATCTTGAAACTGAATAATAAAATTTTCATTTTTGTACAACAGTTTAATTTATTTTCATTCCTTTATAGTAACTGTATTATGAAGTACATAAAATATATTTTCTTGTCAATCATATATAACATGTAAAATCATTTATTATTTACACAGTAGACAAAAAATATGATAAAACTAACAATTTTAAGAGAAACATTTCTAAAAACTTTGTAATTATAATGCATATTGATTACCTTTTATAATCTAAAAATATCAAATTTTTCTGACAAGTATTGTGTTATAAAATTTAGATAAAAGCTCATTTATGACAGTTATTTAATTATTATTAATAATTAATCTGTAATATTTGTAACTCTTATTTCAACAAACTAATTACATTTGATTTGATTTTTCAAAAATCAAAATGATTTAATTATAAAAAATTAATCATAATACATTACTGAAAACATAAGTTCCAAAAATTTGAGAGATCTAATCTCTGGCTTTAATTACTATAAAAAGATTTGCAAGACATTACAGCTTAATAAATTAGAGAAAATGTAGATTGAGAAAGTCTGATGCGAGTATTTCTGAAGCATCTCTATTGTGCAATGATTTAAAAACCTTATCCACTAATTTATTAATGAAAAAATTTTCAAATGTTTCACTTCACACTTTTACATCTGTAATAAATATGATATCTATATCAATGTGTTTCTATTGTTCTTATAAAAATCTTTATAGCATGGCAAAAATAATAATATTTTAAAATTTGCAAAAAAATTTTTTTATGTAATTTTACATTAATAGTATATAAATAAAATGTTTGAAGTATAAATAATTTCATATGATTTCATAGATATATTCTTCATAAAATTATACATGTTAAAGAATATACTTGATATAAATAAAATTTATGCACATGTCAACTCATCTGATCAGGACTTAATTTTGGAGAAAAATTTTCATATAAATCTGAAAGCAAACTAGGAAATAAAACATTAAAAAATCATAAACTTACCATAAACCGTCGTAGCTACTTGAAACAATGAGGGATCCATCTCTATTAAAATGTACCTACAATGAATTACATGAAATCTTTAGCGTAGATAAAATAATCAAAATTACACTACTGATAGGAGTCAATGGGGGAGAACATTTTATGGAGGATAACAAAATATTAAAAGAGAATATTAATATCAGTACCTGATTGATGATTCTATATAATATATTTTTTTAAAAGATTATAATGATCAATTTCTTGTATACATCAGTGTGGTCCAACTCAAAGCCCGGGCCAGACCTAACCTTCAGCCAATCATTGCTGGCCTGCAAAATACTTTTTCTACAATATGCCAATACTTTTCTTAAACAAAACTGGCTCTCACCTTATGTTTGAAAACTGTATCCAGCCCTTTAAAAATATGGGCCACACTGGCATTTGTCATGCCCAAATAACCAGATAAACTTTCACTCCTAAATAACAAAATATATAGGAATTTGATCCTCAAAATTGGATGAAATTTTATCAAATGTGGGATAGGTAAAATAATAATACTGACAATTGATGAAACCAAATCAAATGATAATTTTTAAAATTTCATCTAAAAAATATCCTTTTTACTAAAACAATCATATCTTGGTTTTTAATTTCATAAAATCACAGTTGAATATTAAATGTATAATTTAGCTGCCAAACAAAAAAAATTAAGTTTCTCTGTAATGTTTAAATGATTAATAAAAGGGATTATAATAGTAAATCAACTACTGAATAGTGTTTGAACTAAATTTAGTTCTTTAAATCACAGATTCATAATTATAAGTAAATATTTATCTGATATCTGTTAGCTATTATTAAAAGTTTTTATACACATTATTATAAACGTAAACCAAGAATTTTTAATTATTATTTTCGCTAATAAATAAAACTGAGTATAAATAGATAATTTAAATTAAATAAATATAAATTAAATCATATTTAAACTTACATAAAGCAAAAATCTCATTTGAATCATCATCAATTTATAATCTATTAATGCATTATATACTAGTAGATAAACTATCATATTAATAAATTATATTATTATTTCTCCATGACAGTTAATAGATAATCTACTAATTCAATTCTAAAAAAATAAATAAATTTATCAATACATTTCTCTTCCTTCTATTTTTGAAAATTTCTACTAGCAATTTTCATTAGAATGTTTAAAAAATAATTTGTCGAATATCTATTTTATTCCAGATCTCATGAAATCATCATAATAAAAGCTGAAACATTTTCACATTGCCATTGTTACAAAAAAAAATTTGTAATAATTTATATTTGTAAACCATTCAAGACTATCTAATGAATAGTTCAGCTTATTGTAGTATTAATATTTGTTCTATTTTCTCTACTGTTTCTGTATCTTAAGTTAACAATACTGCTTGATCCTATAGTGTCCTTTCATATTCACAGTAAAATTATTTTAGATACAGTACGACCCCAATTACATAAGGTTCTGTCTTATCTGTAAAATGAATATTTTTCTTACACTGCACTGTAATTTGTAAGTATGAAGTTTAAAACAACAATAATTTATTAAAAAATGATTTCTTTCTGTTATATTTTATCATTTAACTTCAATGTGAGAAACTATTCATACTGAAATGATAAATTATATATATTATATTATATTATTGCAGTTATTATGTATATTATATGGTACTTCACACATTAAATTATTAATAGTCAGATATATGTTAGTTATTTGAGACCATTATACTAATATGCATTTTTGGTTATTATTTAAATCTCTCTTCAGTTGGCCTTTTCTGGTCAAACTATAATTTACGTAAAATTCCTACCACCACATCATAAATTACTGCATAACTTTTTTATTTTAATTAATTTTATTTTTAATATACAATTGATAAAAGTATGGATTGTATATTGCATAGAATTTGTGAAAAGAGTCTCATTTGATGATGTCAAAATTAATATATCTTGTATAATAACTGGTTACTGATGTCCTCAAAATACTGTAATTTTGTCATTTTCTTAATTACTCAGCTTTTACAAAATTCCTATTAATCCTGTATCTTTTACCATTGTATCTAATAATTAAATTATTTTAATTTTTAAATATATCATTATTTCAAAATAGTGATAAGGTATTGATATAATAGGTAAAAATTTACTTTAACTATTGCAACAGTCCAATTTTGTTAATGTTTTTAAGTAAATTATAAATTGAGAATGTGAGAGTAAAATATTATAACTATTTATATAACTGTGTCACAGGTCATTTATGTTAATTTTTTCAGTCAAAACGTTAATATAAAAAAAATTGTAGGATCTTTCCCAATTATTTCCATTGAATTTTTATTTCACAACTGTGTAATATTAGTATAATGATCAAAGATGATATATATGTAGTTATTAAATAAATTGTTAATAGTCTGAAATATATAATATGATATTAAGTTACAAAAATTAACAATATACAGTCGACCCCCTATAACACGGGTTCCTATAGTTCGGATTCCTGTATGATGGCGAAAAAATTGCGACGGTATCCGTACAAACATGGTAAAAAAACTCCTATAATTTGGTAAAACGTCATCGGGCAGCCGAACTACTTTCCGCCATCCAGCGCCACGCTACGGAGAGTTTAGGCCGGTAAGTTGAGTTTAACTATCGTCTGTACAGTATTATATATAAATTAGGTACTGTACATATAATTATATATTAATTATATATGAATTAGGTACTGTATATATAATTATATATTAACTTAATTTATTGTAACTTTATTATAATTATATATATACTTTCCACCGTCCAGCGCCACGCTACAGAGAGTTTAGGCGAGTAAGTTGAGTTTACTGTCGTCTGTATAGTATGTAAATTAGGTACCGTCTTAGATAAATTAGGTAAGTCTAATACAGCACTAATTTTATACATTTCTTGTGAAAGAAACATTTCTTATTCAATGGCCATAAAAATTATTTATATTAATGATGTCTCCAAAGTTCAACGAAGTTTTCGCAGAAAAATAACTTATCAGAAATTGCCCGCCATTTGGTGCGCTGCTCCGCGATGAAAACAAGCTTGAGCAATGGCGATGTCAAACGATGCACACTCGGTAAGTAATCCTACAATTTTTTCTTTATAGCATAGTTTATACGGATTATTCCCAAAAAACTTATACGTATTTTGGAAATGTTGAGTCGAATTAGTCTAGGAATCTATTAATTTTATGGAATTTCGAAAACCTTTCAAACAGCCGTAGTCCGTAAAGTGCATACGTGCCGGGCTGTGATTGGCAAGGACTTGTACAAAATGGATTCGTAAAGAATTAAATGTATTTACCGTGTTATAGGGAGGTTGATTGTACATAATAATCAAGTTGCGTTAATAGTCAAAAACAATATTAAAATGGTTAAAACTACTGTATTATTGCAATTTTGTTAAGAACAAAAATGTATTAGAAATATTATAAATGTAAAAAAAATTGTTCTTATAAATAATTAAATTCACTAAAGCATGAAAAAGAAGCTTAAAAGTGAAGCATATAAATCTTATATTCATAATTTTAATTGGAAATGTCTAGCCATTTGTTTTATCCAGATTTTCAGTTATCTGCATAGTAGCATCAGTTCACATTACCTCAGATAATCAGGGTTCTACTGTATATGAAAACAAGAATTAAATCACAGTAAAAAATTATATATAAGTTAACTGTAGTTTGATGTTCAGTCTAAAACAAAATTCTCAGACCATTAAGCATAGTAAGAGAATTTTTCTAACAACATTTTATTGAAATAATAAAAACACGAAATATTAAATGGGAAACATTAAAAGTTGAAAGGAAAATGTTTCTTCAAAATATGCAAACAGATTTTTTTTGATAATGCATGCAAGGATACTACTACATCACGTTCTTAAATTTTACTGAATACATAACAGATTAATTAAAAATAATTTAAAATACTTTAATATATAAATATTTGCTACGTTTAAAATACGTTTAAAAAAATTAATGTCAGTGTTTTCCACCAATGAAACAATCATTCCATTTTCTATACAGTGATGTTCATATTTTCATTTGTGTTTAACTGCTTTTCAACCTGATAAAATATTTTCAACAAATTTAAATCACTTAGTAAGGTATATTTGATGGATATTATTAGTGCTGTTTTGTTATTTGAACTGTAACAGGGAAACAACATGATTTAGAGCAGGGATGAGCAACACGCGGCCCACTAAACATATTTATGCGGCCCGCCAAGCATTTTAAAAATTGAATTTATTTTAATCGACTTTCTCCCATCAATATATTGTTATAAAATTAATTATAATAAAATGGTAGTACATACTAAACCAAAACAATTTTTTGTGACGAGTTACTCACTTGTCGGCGACTTGTTCAAACATGTAATACGAATGTGCCGCGTCTGTGCTTTGTGTGACAGAAGCAAACACAAACATCAGTCAGACTGGTAAGCTGTTAACTAGCAATTTTAGCAATTCTTGTGTTTCTTGAAAGGCGTGAGTGCAATATTATTGTCTAAAAAGTAATATTAGAGTGGAAATTTGATTTCCACATTTCCAAAAAAAGTGGAAATTTGATTATTTTTTCACTTTCGTCGAACATAAAGCTGTATGCTTAATATGCTCAGAGACTGTGTTGACATTAAAAGAATATAACATAAAAAGGCATTTGTGAATTTTTTGTCTCTTTAATCCATTTGGTAGACTATCTCACAGCAAAGGTTAATAAATTCTTTTATTAGTTTTCACATATGCATTTCGAACCGGTATAACATTTCCGGTTCCTCTTCAGTGTTCTACAATTATAAACATTAAATTGATATAATTTAAAAAACTAACAAAGTAATTTGCCAAGTAACATAACATAAACACATCACAAATACCTCTAAGGGTTTTACACATTTAATAATTTAAGGATTTTGGTGTGTGTTCCTCCCTCAAGAAGCACCTGAAGTAGTTTATGTCATGCTGTAACATCTCCACTTTCTTAGTAAGAATTCTTAACCTGTTTTTCTTATCCATTGTATTTCAATAATATGTTGAATATTCTGGTTATAGCTGTACAGCTATAACCAGAATATTCATCAATAAAAAGGCATTACGATACAAAAAATGAACAACAATATAAAAACTTAACAGGACAACTCCGGATAGATAAGTTTAATCAAATGGAGAAAAACTTGGGAAAACAACAGGCTACTTTTAAGAATCAAGCTATTTTATCAAATATGGCAGTAAAGGCTAGTTTTGTTATCAGTCAAATACTGTCAAAAAAAAAAAAAAAAATGAAATCCTTTGCAGATGGAGAGATGATAAAAGAATGTCTGACTGCTGTTGCAGAAATAGCATTTCCTGATAAAATAAATATTATTTCAAACATTAGTTTATCAAGATTCACCATTGCAAGGAGAATTGAAGACTTGTCCGAGAACATAGCAACAACGCTTCGTGAACGCATTGCAAAATTCGAATANACATGAACAACAATATAAAAACTTAACAGGACAACTCCGGATAGATAAGTTTAATCAAATGGAGAAAAACTTGGGAAAACAACAGGCTACTTTTAAAAATCAAGCTATTTTATCAAATACGGCAGTAAAGGCTAGTTTTGTTGTCAGTCAAATACTGGCAAAAAAAATGAAATCCTTTGCAGATGGAGAGATGATAAAAGAATGTCTGACTGCTGTTGCAGAAATAGCATTTCCTGATAAAATAAATATTATTTATCAGGAAATGTTAAATAAATATTAAAAATAAACTAATATTATTTCAAACATTAGTTTATCAAGATTCACCATTGCAAGAAGAATTGAAGACTTGTCCAAGAACATAGCAACAACACTTCGTGAACGCATTGCAAAATTCGAATACTGTTCTTTGGCACTTGATGAGAGTTGCGATATTAGCGATACAGCACAACTGGCTATATTTTTACATGGTATGGACACCAAATTTAATATTACCGAAGACAACCGGCAAAGACCTGTACGATGAACTAAAGTCTGTGTTGGAAAATTTTTCTTTTCATTAGAAAAGATTATTGGTATATCGACAGATGGAGCACGAGCAATGTCAAGCATGGAGCAATGTCAAGCATGGAGGTAGGAGTATCAGGAAGGCTATTTCAAGACATTAAGAAGGTCACAGGAAGGGAAATATTCGTTAACCACTGCATAATTCACCAGGAAAATTTGTGTGCGAAAAGATTGAGTTTGCCAAATGTCACAGTACCAATAATTAAACTAATCAATTTTATAAAGTTGTGCACGTTAAATCACCATGAATTTAAAGAATTCCTGAAAGATTTAGAAACTGAATATGGCGACGTGATTTTTAATACCGAAGTACGGTGGCTTAGTAGAAATGCAATGCTAAAAAGAGTATACAACTTAATTAAAAAGCAAAATACAATTGTTCTTGGATATGAAGGGATATGCCTTTCCTCATTTTGGTAATAAAGAATGGATGTGCGATTTTGGGTTTCTTATCGACATGACTCAGCATCTCAATGATCTTAATGTGGAACTTCAAGGCAAAGGACAGTTTATTCACAATTTGTATGATAAAATTCAGGGCTTTGAGTTCAAATTAAAATTGTGGAAACAGCATCTTTTGCAGAATAATGTGTCTCATTTTCCACATTTAGAAAAAGAAAACGTTACTACTTCTCAAAAATACGCACAATATATAGACATTTTAATCAATGAATTTCAATTACGACTCCAAATGTTCAAAGCTGAGAAGACAGCGGTTTCCATGAAAATGTTTTCCTCGCCATTTAATATCGATGTGGATACAGTTCCCGAAGACTTTCAAATGGAAGTGATTGACATGCAGAATAATACTGATTTAAAAAATGTATTTTTCTCAGTAAACATCGAAAATTTTTATAAATCTTATGTGAGNCAATATCAATGTGTTTCTATTGTTCTTATAAAAATCTTTATAGCATGGCAAAAATAATAATATTTTAAAATTTGCAAAAAAATTTTTTTATGTAATTTTACATTAATAGTATATAAATAAAATGTTTGAAGTATAAATAATTTCATATGATTTCATAGATATATTCTTCATAAAATTATACATGTTAAAGAATATACTTGATATAAATAAAATTTATGCACATGTCAACTCATCTGATCAGGACTTAATTTTGGAGAAAAATTTTCATATAAATCTGAAAGCAAACTAGGAAATAAAACATTAAAAAATCATAAACTTACCATAAACCGTCGTAGCTACTTGAAACAATGAGGGATCCATCTCTATTAAAATGTACCTACAATGAATTACATGAAATCTTTAGCGTAGATAAAATAATCAAAATTACACTACTGATAGGAGTCAATGGGGGAGAACATTTTATGGAGGATAACAAAATATTAAAAGAGAATATTAATATCAGTACCTGATTGATGATTCTATATAATATATTTTTTTAAAAGATTATAATGATCAATTTCTTGTATACATCAGTGTGGTCCAACTCAAAGCCCGGGCCAGACCTAACCTTCAGCCAATCATTGCTGGCCTGCAAAATACTTTTTCTACAATATGCCAATACTTTTCTTAAACAAAACTGGCTCTCACCTTATGTTTGAAAACTGTATCCAGCCCTTTAAAAATATGGGCCACACTGGCATTTGTCATGCCCAAATAACCAGATAAACTTTCACTCCTAAATAACAAAATATATAGGAATTTGATCCTCAAAATTGGATGAAATTTTATCAAATGTGGGATAGGTAAAATAATAATACTGACAATTGATGAAACCAAATCAAATGATAATTTTTAAAATTTCATCTAAAAAATATCCTTTTTACTAAAACAATCATATCTTGGTTTTTAATTTCATAAAATCACAGTTGAATATTAAATGTATAATTTAGCTGCCAAACAAAAAAAATTAAGTTTCTCTGTAATGTTTAAATGATTAATAAAAGGGATTATAATAGTAAATCAACTACTGAATAGTGTTTGAACTAAATTTAGTTCTTTAAATCACAGATTCATAATTATAAGTAAATATTTATCTGATATCTGTTAGCTATTATTAAAAGTTTTTATACACATTATTATAAACGTAAACCAAGAATTTTTAATTATTATTTTCGCTAATAAATAAAACTGAGTATAAATAGATAATTTAAATTAAATAAATATAAATTAAATCATATTTAAACTTACATAAAGCAAAAATCTCATTTGAATCATCATCAATTTATAATCTATTAATGCATTATATACTAGTAGATAAACTATCATATTAATAAATTATATTATTATTTCTCCATGACAGTTAATAGATAATCTACTAATTCAATTCTAAAAAAATAAATAAATTTATCAATACATTTCTCTTCCTTCTATTTTTGAAAATTTCTACTAGCAATTTTCATTAGAATGTTTAAAAAATAATTTGTCGAATATCTATTTTATTCCAGATCTCATGAAATCATCATAATAAAAGCTGAAACATTTTCACATTGCCATTGTTACAAAAAAAAATTTGTAATAATTTATATTTGTAAACCATTCAAGACTATCTAATGAATAGTTCAGCTTATTGTAGTATTAATATTTGTTCTATTTTCTCTACTGTTTCTGTATCTTAAGTTAACAATACTGCTTGATCCTATAGTGTCCTTTCATATTCACAGTAAAATTATTTTAGATACAGTACGACCCCAATTACATAAGGTTCTGTCTTATCTGTAAAATGAATATTTTTCTTACACTGCACTGTAATTTGTAAGTATGAAGTTTAAAACAACAATAATTTATTAAAAAATGATTTCTTTCTGTTATATTTTATCATTTAACTTCAATGTGAGAAACTATTCATACTGAAATGATAAATTATATATATTATATTATATTATTGCAGTTATTATGTATATTATATGGTACTTCACACATTAAATTATTAATAGTCAGATATATGTTAGTTATTTGAGACCATTATACTAATATGCATTTTTGGTTATTATTTAAATCTCTCTTCAGTTGGCCTTTTCTGGTCAAACTATAATTTACGTAAAATTCCTACCACCACATCATAAATTACTGCATAACTTTTTTATTTTAATTAATTTTATTTTTAATATACAATTGATAAAAGTATGGATTGTATATTGCATAGAATTTGTGAAAAGAGTCTCATTTGATGATGTCAAAATTAATATATCTTGTATAATAACTGGTTACTGATGTCCTCAAAATACTGTAATTTTGTCATTTTCTTAATTACTCAGCTTTTACAAAATTCCTATTAATCCTGTATCTTTTACCATTGTATCTAATAATTAAATTATTTTTAATTTTTAAATATATCATTATTTCAAAATAGTGATAAGGTATTGATATAATAGGTAAAAATTTACTTTAACTATTGCAACAGTCCAATTTTGTTAATGTTTTTAAGTAAATTATAAATTGAGAATGTGAGAGTAAAATATTATAACTATTTATATAACTGTGTCACAGGTCATTTATGTTAATTTTTTCAGTCAAAACGTTAATATAAAAAAAATTGTAGGATCTTTCCCAATTATTTCCATTGAATTTTTATTTCACAACTGTGTAATATTAGTATAATGATCAAAGATGATATATATGTAGTTATTAAATAAATTGTTAATAGTCTGAAATATATAATATGATATTAAGTTACAAAAATTAACAATATACAGTCGACCCCCTATAACACGGGTTCCTATAGTTCGGATTCCTGTATGATGGCGAAAAAATTGCGACGGTATCCGTACAAACATGGTAAAAAAACTCCTATAATTTGGTAAAACGTCATCGGGCAGCCGAACTACTTTCCGCCATCCAGCGCCACGCTACGGAGAGTTTAGGCCGGTAAGTTGAGTTTAACTATCGTCTGTACAGTATTATATATAAATTAGGTACTGTACATATAATTATATATTAATTATATATGAATTAGGTACTGTATATATAATTATATATTAACTTAATTTATTGTAACTTTATTATAATTATATATATAT